ATTTTAGCCGTGTATCTATTCTTTTCTTATTCTTTCTCAATTAAACTTGCTCCTTATGTGTCCTGCTTTCACTCTCACTGTCCCACTTCAACTGCTGTGTAGACATACCTGGAATGTTACAAAAGATATGGGCAAGGTGGGGAATCTGTCCCTTAGTTGCCATTGGACTGCTGGGTGGCAGATCGAAAGACTTCAAAGGTTTTGACATACATTTTATGCATATCATTTTCAGAGTCTTCAAAAACACAAAGGTAGTTTTGCCTTGTTTGTAGGTTTTCTTTTTTTAGATTACTTTTAATTAAATTGAGCACAAATTAGTTGTATGCTGTTGAAATCAAAATTGTTAGTTAAAGCACAGGCAGGAACGTAAAAAATATAGAAAATGTGTTTACTCAATGGGTGAATGGGAGATGGACATTTGAAACCAGGAATCAAGGGAGGATAATCTGGACTTCCAGTTTTGAGGGAGCCCTGGCACTTAACTTGGTTGAATTACAAATTGCTAGATTCTGAGCTGATGTGAGATCTATTTGATGGATGAGGATGTTCCATAGAAAAAGGGATGAATGAGACAACTGGCAGGTATGACTGGGTAAATCTGTATAACTACTGTGGAAGGAAAGGAAAGATGTCTTCATCCAGATTCTGATTGAAATCACATTGTTCATTTGCAGAAGAACTCCTGCCGCCAAACCGTAAGTTCTCTTAAATTTCCTGACACATTTCCCCTTTTAGTTTAACATTTTGAAACGAAAAATTATATTTCTTCATTTCGTTCATGCCACAATTCCTGGATAAAAATCTTTGGTTATAACAGACTCAGGAAAATGGTCAATGAGTATCTATATGGCGTGTATATACTCAGAATGTGAGAAACATGGAGAATGGCAGGGAATCAGTCCCTTAGTTCCCATAGGGTACGTCTACACTAGCTCATTAGTTCAAACTAGGTAGGTAAATGAAGGCAAGTGGAGTTGCAAATGAAGCCTGGGATTTAAATATCCCGGGCTTCATTTGCATGTTCCCGGGCGCCGCCATTTTTAAATCCCCCTTAGTCCGAACTAACTGCCTGCGGCTAAACATGGCAGTTAAACGTTAATTCGAACTAACTCCTTAGTTCGAATTAACTGTTACTCCTCATGGAGTTCTCCTGGAATGAGATGTAGTAAGATGTGTTTACCCAATTTCTAATTTAAATCACACTGTTCTTTTGTAGGCCAACTCTCTTTTCTTCAATTTCTCTAATAATTTTCCCCTTAGAAATATGTTGTTAAATAAAAAGAGCTATTTCTTCATTTCATCGTCTTCTCTCCATCCAAGGAGAGTTCATTATCCACCAGATTGCTTTGAAACTCCAAAATAGAATCAATGAGGCCTCTCTCAGACAGGAAGATTAGTTAATTAGGCTAGAATATTTTTATTTATATACTCTCAGGCCTCAAATTGAAGAATTATTTTATTCATCAGTTTATGGTATAGTATGTCAATAATGCCATGCTTCCTCTTCCATTGCTTTTCTCTCTGAGAGTACATCTACATAGCAGCATTATTTCAAAATAACAAAGTGAGCATCCATACAGCAAGACCGTTATTTCAAAATAATTTTGAAATAATAAACCCTCATTTCATGAGGAACAACACCTATTTTAAAATAGCAATTTCAAAATATGGTGAGAGTGGATGGCAAAGCTGTACTTATTTCAAAATAATTGACCTCCAGAGCTTCTCATGGGTGCTGTGGTCGCCATTCTCACACCCCTCAAAACTCTGTAGCTTCCCTTCCCTTGCAACCTTTAAAGGTGCAGGCAGAAGGAAAAAGGCTTGTGGCACCATACCAGCCCTGACAGCTCTGTGCCAGCCACAGAGCAGACTTACCAGTGCATCTATGAGTGACCCCAGTACTCCCAGCAAGCCCCTCAGGGCTGCTAGTGAGCTGGCAGCCACCTCCAAAGCCCCTGATTAGGAGCAGAAGAGAGCCTCTTCTTGGTCTCATGTGGAGACCCTGGAACTCATTAAGGTCTGGATTAAGGAGGCAAACCTCCAGGATTTCTGCATCACATGCCTGCTCCCCGTAAGCTTCTCCCCCCTAACCTTTCATGGCCACCGAGAGTCCTGCACATAAGGCGGTGGGACCACCTGAGGCAGACACCAGTCCCAACCCCATTCCTGAGCTCCCTCTGCCCCTTCCTCATTCTGCCTCTCCTGGTTCTTTCCCCAGGCCCTCTCCAGTTATATTTACCACAAATAAAAATAACAGACAGTTCATTGTTTCAAACCAAAAAGTCTGATTTATTTTATCTGTAGGAGGGAGAAGGAAGAAGTGGGAAGGGAAGGCACAGAGAGACAATGCAGAAGCTCCTTGAGGGGAGGCCCAGGGGAGAATTTCATAGATGTCCTTAGCTGAAACTCTCCTCCATAGTGCCCTGAATGTGCACAGCCCCCTTATGTGCCTACCAGATGGCAACAGTCTGTGGCTGCTGAAAAGCCCTGGTCAACCATGCAGCCTGTGCCCCCTTCTCTGGCAGGAACTTCTCCCCCTTATTCTCGCACAGGTTTTACAGGACACAGCAGGCCACTGCCACCACCTGGGGAAATGTTCTGGTCACTGAGGTCCAGGCAGGTGAGGAGGCAATGGAGTCTCTCCTTTAAATGGCTAAAAGCTTCCTTCATGATGATGAGGGCTCTGCTGAGCCTGGCATTGAACCGTTCCTTGGTGCGGTCCAAGTGTCCTGTGTAGGGCTTCATTAGCCAGGGGAGCAAGAGATAGGCTGCATTGCCCATGATGCACATGGGCAAAGTCTCTGACCCTGATAGTGTGGTCTGGGAGAATGTTCTGGAAGAGGCTGGAGCTGTAGAATATGCGGGCATCATGAGACTTTCCCAGTCACCAGACACTGATACCCGTGAAGCAGCCCCAATGATCCACAAGGACCTGCAGAACAATGGAAAAGTACCCCTTCCAGTTTATGTAGTCCGAGGTCCAGTGGTCGGGGGTCCAGATATGGATGTGGATGGCAACAATGCCCCAACCAGCTGGGGAAGTCCATGGGGGCAAAGCCAGCAACGATGCTGTCCATGTTGCCCAGGATGACAACCCTGCACAGCAGGATGGAATTATGGCCTTTACCACCTATAGAAGGTTACTAACAGAATCAGAGGTTGCCAGAGCCCCAAGGAATTTGCCAAACCCCATCCCACAGTAGGAGCAACCCCAACTGAAAAACCTCCAGGGAGAGTCCTAATTAGGAAGCCTAATCCGAACTATCTAGTCCGTGCCGCGTGGGTTCGCACTAGCCGGCTTTTAAAAATGGCGGCGCCGGCTTTATGCTAATGAAGCCCGGGAAATTCAAATCCCGGGCTTCATTAGCAAGTTAGGTATGCATACATTACCCCACTAGTTCGAACTAGGGGGGTAGTGTAGACATACCCTAAGATAGTTAAACCAACATGACCATGGCCCCAACCATCAATCTCCACATGCCAAACTGGTTCCCAACTATAGCAGTAGCAAAGGAGTTTGCAGTCTCCATCATGGGTGATATTTAAGAGCAGTTTGGAAAGAAATCTATGAGGGATGGTCTAGATGGTGCTTGGTCCTGCTGTGAGGGCAGGGGACTGGACTTGGTGATCTCTCAAGGTCCCCTCCAGTTCTAGTGTTCTATGATTCTGTGAATGCTGCTATACGAGATACAGATTAAAAATGTTAAGATTTCACTTCCATTATTATTCTCTTGGTGTTCAAGGAGTAATTAATGTAACAAATATATGACTTTCCTTAATCAGCATATATAATATTTGTTCATGTCATATGGTATGTATTACTAATTAGAGAAATAGATTTGAGGAGAGAGAAATAATTCTCCTTTACATGATTTGCACCATTGTGGAACCACAAATATGTTATATTCTAATATATAAAAACGTATCTGTAATTCGCTTCATATTCTCAGCTATTCAGTTTGTTCTTTGTACTGCTCACACTACATATACTCTCTCACAGAAGGAAAAAAATAGTTTACAACAACAAAAGTGTAAGAATAACACTGGGTAGTCAATGCTTTAAAAAAAGTACAAGGGGATGTACCAAACATGTCATTAATACATAAAATTATTAGTATAGTTTGTATTATAAATTGTTCATTTCTATCTATAAATATTGGAGTAACTCAACTTTGGAAGGCCTAGGAGGAGATAGTAAAATCCATACTGTCAATTAAGCCAAATGCAATGTCCTGGATATAAATATGAAGGGCCTAGAAGGCCATCTGGAAACTGACACCTATTAATGTATTTTCTTCAACAATAAACCTGATGTAGGAGCCTGCCTATGTTATTTAAGTCTGAGGTTTTTGGGGCCTCTCGTAAATAATTTTTTGTTAATTACGTGCAAAAACCTGGTACAATATAATGACAGAGCATTCAAAAATCCATGCAACCAAATGCTTACAATCACTAACAAAGCAGACGATCTGTTATAATGCCATATCAGTAAATCTTATATTTCCCATATAGTTGAACTAAATTATTACAATCTTTCTTAAGTATTAGAAACGTTCCTTCAAGAGGCTCAATATTGCAAGCATTGTTAATAAAATGTCAGTGCCTGGAAGATGAGTATTTCTAATAATGAGTCAGAGGGTTGGGGGTAGCTCTCCTCTTGTGTGCCAGATTAGGGCCTTTTCTTGGGAAGCAAATTTATGAGCAGTTTGAAGATCCATGTGATGTTTTAGCTATGGTGAGCAGGAAGGAGAACAAATGGAAGGAGTAAAAGAGAAATTCTGCAGGAATAATCCCTTGAGAGGCTCAATATTGTTAAGACGTGCTCCTTCAAACTGAAATCACCATGTACTTTACAGGACAAAAGCAGAGAAGACAAGGTAAATTGTCTTTGAGTTCT